CTTAAACAAACAAAACCTCAATAGGAGAAGAGCAAAGGCCACATAGCTACATTTAACTTTCTAATGTTCTGCTTGTATAATCTCAGCCCATTGGATAAAAACCTTTTGTCACCATGTTTGGCTTTTCAGCTATGTCGAGAATATTTTAGGCGTTTGCTTTGCAGCCATTCAGACACGAGCCATTATTTGTGATGTTTATTTTAGTGAAGCCTCGCCTCAAGTTTTAAGCAAGTACATGCAGTGCAATGTGGATTTAGCTCATCTAAATTCCTTCACTCAGCGGTCTCTATCATCTAATAAGCAGCTTTTGTGTGCTTTTTGACACTCACAGTTTATGAACAAAGGAAACCATGTTAATGACACTCAGCTGAATTAACCTTGATCAAATAAAGTGACCGCAACATGAAACCCACCCTTTCACATCCAAACCACTCTAAGCTCAAAAGCAATCATCATAATCTTTTTCTCCTTATAAACTTTGAATATACAGCAATTTCCAGATTTCAGCCCTCAAGACTTTTGTGCCATTTTTTTTAAGCATTATTGCTTGAAAAATAAAAGAATAAGCAATGATGTAAAATCTCTCATGAGGAAAAACAAGAATTATAAAACAACACAAAAATCTGTGTTACAGAAAATTAAGTTGTTGCAAATACGTTTGGACAAAATTAGCTGTTTCTGTTGCAATAAATATTTCCACTGGCATTAAAATTTCTCAATGCTTTGCCTATAAACCATTAAGAAGTCTTCCTTGATAATTAAAAAAGTACCAGTTCCACTGGTAGATTATTTCAATTATAACATGGGAAAAATGTTATAGGTCAAATAATATAGGAATTAAACTAACCTCCAAATAATTTGCTGAAAATTTATTTGTAAGTTTGTCTTATTTCAAGTCTACTAAGACATTTGCACTAGGAACTAGACCAAAATCACTTGGTAATATTTTGTAATGCATGCAAGTTGGACGTCAGTGGGGGCCGAAGAGGCTGGAAGCCGTGGCTTGCTAATTACCAGCAGTGTAATCTGGATATAATTTACTGGTATAGCAAAATAAATCCATTTCAGAAATTAACTTCACAACGTCAGACAGAATGAAAAAATATCACTTTATGGAGTAGAAATTGACACAATTCAGAGCCTTACATACATACAAAACAAATCAAATTTTATTTGTACAGCGCCTTTCAGCAGCAAGGCATTCAGAAGTGCAGAACACAGTAACAGTTTTAATAAATATGATCATACATAATAAATATGATCGTGTAAGGTATAAAATGACCAAAGATACAAAATGGCGAAGGGGCAAAATGACCATCACTCACTCTGAGTGGTCGTCGGAAAAATAAACCACCATGCTCCAATGCTAAACCCAGTCATTCTAGTTTAACACATGATATACTTTTTCTCTTGCATATAAACTCTATAAACTCTGAACTTCAAAAGGTTGTAACACAATGAGTTATATGACATTGTGTTGCAACAGTCTGTCCTGTAATCCCAATCATTTCCAGTGTAAATAAAAATCTGTTGCGAAAATAATGTAATGACAAAGTGTTCACTTGAACCGCCTGAAAATATTTGTGGTAATATTTGTATAAGATATTTGCTCTTATTATTTGACCTACTGGTTATCGATTGTGGACTCATGGGGTCATCCAAGGCAAACAAAATTATTTACTACAACTGTTGGTGGAGAATTTACCACCTTAGTTTTCTTGCCCTCTCCATGCACCTTTGAGGGGAGCTACTCCAAAAGTGATGCAGAGATACAGCAGGTTATGCCAACAGTCATTGGTCTCCTGTCTAAGTAAAACACAACTCCTGCATTTTACATTATTCCCTTGTAAAGCTGCAGTATGTAACTTTTATAAAAATATATTTTTTCACATATTTGTTGGAACTGTCACTATGTTGTGACAGTAAGGCATGAAACAGATCTGTGGGAAAAAAATAAGCCTCTGCTTTCTCCCAGTACTCCTAGTGCTAACTAGAAACAGCTAGTCAGAGTCAGGAGGAGGGTCTTAGCGCTGTAAATCACAATCTTGTATTGCGCTGCTCATCCCTCTTTTGCCTCGCCCTGAGATCTCTGAGGCTCTGTGGCTTCTTCCTGATAGCAGAGCATGTCGTAAATGCTCAAGCTAGTTAGTGCTGTAGTGGTAAGTTGTTTCCCAACCATTAACACATTCAGTAGTGAGTACATGAGCATGATTGACAGCACTATGGCTCTGATTGGTTGTTTTTAGTTGGGGTGCATTTCTTCAGATAGAAATAGTAGCTTAGGGATGAAGTAGAGGAGATTAATCTTTTCACACATTATCTGTCTTGTGCTGTCAAGACATCAAGTCAAATCAAATTGTATTTGTACAGCACCTTTCAGCAGCAAGGCATTCAAAAGTGCAGAACACAGTAACAGTTTTAATAAATATGTGAAACACATACTTTTTTTTTTTTTTTTTTTTACAAATGTTATGTATAGTAAAGTGCATAGTAACTAACATCTGAATTCATGGCTAGTAATTTTGATGATATATCATTTAACTTTTTTTTTTTTTAGCAAACTCAAATAAAATGCAACACATGAAAATCATTTAGTTTTGCCAACCTAACCAAGATAACATGTGCCCTACAGTCTGCTGACTGTGCTCAAATGTTCATGGTAGGAAATTGAAAACTTACTCATACAAGTTGAGGAGGCGGAAACTAAAACAATTTAGTCTGGCATTTGGAAAGCCTGCATTCAAAGCCTGAAGGGGTTAGTTTTTTTTTTGTATTAACTTGCATTTTTGCTCAAAGAACTGCTCATAAACTTTGGCTGGCACGCAGTCCCAAAGGCAAAACATGTTTCAAATAGAGAACGACATCCCTGTCTTGACTAGATTTTGATTTATTATCATGCTGGTTTAGATCATGCTATGTGCTGCACATAATTCATGGCTTAGGTATTAGACTTTATAGAAGCTGAATAATGTATAGCATATTTCTAAAGCTACACAACTCTTCCTTTGATCATTTCAGCTCAAGTTCAGACATTTTTCTGAGTAAAACTTTGCAAATGCTGGATCTACAGGTTCCTGCTGTGATATCCTGCTATGAATTACAGCTATTCTCTGAAGATCTGAAATTGTTGCGTAGTGACCAAAAAGCTGGAAAAGAAGCACAACAGTCATAGTTATTAAATCACTATTTCATTCTTTGTACGTTTAATAGAGTACTCTTCAATTCACTAACTTTTTACTTCTAAATGTCTTTTGACCTGAAATGCGTATAGTAGATATTATCAAGCTCAGTTAAACACGTTGTTGTTTAAACAGTTCTTGTGAAACCCAACTTCTCTCCAAATAACTATAGATCCATTTATAAAGTATTTTAATTCCCAAACTTTAAAACACAGTATGGCTAACCAACTGATTTATTTTCTGGAACAACAGAAAATTTTAGATGAATACTAATGTGGATTTTGTAAAATTAATTGATCAGAAACAGCATTGCTGAAAGGGTCCAGAGGCATCATGATGGCTGCAGGAAATGGGAAATTTAGTCTTATGAGACGTTGAGGTAGCCTGGCTATTGCCTTCCTGTGCTACTCCGCTCGATTCAAACCTCGCTTACGTCACAATCTGTTCTTTCTCTCTTTGACTTGGATTCCCTCTGGTATATTTTGTACCCAGCCAGTCAACGAACAGTGACGTTAATTTTCTGTGCTGTTTTAGATTTGTAGTTTAGCAATGGCGGTGGAGGAAGTGAAGGAAGCTGTTCAGCTCATGCTGGCCTAACTTTCAAATATTAATATCAACATCCGCTTCATTCAGCTCGGCTCTTCTGTCTTCGTGGTAAAGGATGGTTGTTTACAGGGAAACCAATTTCCTATAACCTTAATGGCACGGCACCTTACATAAATCATGGACAAATGTTTAAAAAATCAACAGAATCCACACCTCCAGGAAGCAATTGTTTCTGGATTGTCAAGAGTTCAGACCAGCTGTATGAAGTAAAGTGTAGTACAACAGGCTGGTTTTTACCAGGCTAACCTTTCAGCAGTTTTTAAAAAAGTCCATCAAACCATCTTCACTAACAGACTTCATCTGGTTTGGATCTCTATAACTGTTTTAGAGTGACTTAGACTTTTTTTCCCCCCCGTCCCTCTGCCTCATACGGAAAGTACCCAAGAACAATTGTTGGCTAATAAGGACCACATATGTTTATTTTTTTCTTTCTGGATGTGATTTTAAAACCTGTGGCAGGAGAAAATGGTTTTGGTCAGATGAGTGGCTGCATGAAGGGAGTTAGTGTCTCTTTTGTTGCAGGAAGTGCGACAAGTTGGGCAAATGAAAATGGGTCAGTTTATAACCATCTGGATGCTAATTAGTATCTCTAAATAATTAATTTTTCGAGTAATGATTATATTAAAAGTATCTATTATCTTGACAATTTTTGTGTTTGACATCTTGCTTTTGACTAATTAATGGAGAACATAAGAAACAGTTACTACTGATTTCTTTTTTCTAATGATTACATTTTTTTAGGTGTTATTTTCCTGAAAAGTGAAGATGGGTTTTGAACCAAACACCTTCTTGATGCGAGGCCACAGTGCTGAGCGATTCACCACAGTGCAGCCGACAACATGGACTTATGCTCTAATTTACGTTATCATCCTAGCATGCTGTTTGGGTATTTTGAACTAAAACTAAAATACAACTTTGTTCAAACTTGAACTGAAACTTTGCTTTGTGAGCAACTAACTGAGGTAGAAATGAATGTTGTCAGATATCGAGACAAATGCATGTCTTGAAAAGCAGCTGCACCCTGAGGCCTCAGCAGACCCTCCCAGCTGCTCTAATTGTACATTAATTAAAATAGTTCAGTTGCTCGAAGGAAAGAATATTGCAGTGATAGTTCAGGGGTAGCACCAGAGGAGGAGGGCTGTGCCCTGGGACATCATGGGGAGGGATTTTATCTATAGCTCTATTCATGAAGAAATATTTCTCTCCATTTGTCAGAGGGCTGTTTCCTCTGTGAGCTCGGCCAGAAGATAAGAGAAATGACTAAGGGCAGGAGACAAGCTAATGGGGGAAGAGCTTTCCCATGGCCAACCAAACTACTAGCAGCTGGCCATCTGCAAAAACACTACAAAGTAAGAAAAAAACATTTTCCCAACATGTTTAAGCTATCACCAGTTTCACATTTCTAACTTTTTTTTAATGCTTTGGTTTATACGGTAATAAGTTTGTGGCACTTTTTGTCACAGTTTCTGTCATGGTTTCAGTTAAAATTGCAGGTTCAGGATCACAGAATGGGAAGACCTTATTTGGAAGGTCATATAAATAGCTCCTTATTAATAGTATGACATAAAATAACAATTCTTTAGCCTTTCATCAAATCATCATCAAAATACATAAATTATTAGGAAGCAGTTGCAGATTTAAATCAATTTAAAATGTCAAAGAAATTTTATATTTTCTTCAGTGCAAAACCCAGATCTTCAATTTTCCTGCTAATTAGCTTAAAATCATAACTGTTTTTGAGTGCTTACAAGCAGCTGTATTTCACAAGTTGCACTGACCATATTTACCTCTTTCTCACTCCATTTCCAACTGACAGACATTTTTAATTTGTTTTGGTGACGTTTGAAGACCAGTGGTTGCTTCCTTGAAATGTATTGTTTCATTGCAGGTTCGCACTGCAACAAATAAACTAAGCTTTGCAATCAAATGACTCTGCAAGACTGGTGTAAATGCAGCGAAAAGGATAAATGGTACTACAAATGGTTAAATATTGCATGTCGTGTACTTCAGTTAAACTCTGTTATCTGACACTTTCATATGTCTATGTGGATGTTCTGACTTCTGGTCACAGTTTGGACTGGAGGTTGGTCATTTTGCACCATTTTTAGTAATTTTGCAGTTGCTACAACTGTTACCATTTCTGGTTTCCATCAACTTTTCATACTCACCATACATCAATTCAGGCACATCCACAGACACACCAGGTGGAATGTCGTCAATTAGAAATCCATAAATTTATTTAAATTGATTTTCTATATTCCATTCATGATAAGCTGTATGGAATGAATCTAATAAATAACATCTGAAAGCAGGCGGTCTGGTCAGGGGTTATTATTTCTCCCTTTCACAAATTGGTGAAGGGGTGAAATGAAAAGCGACTAAAATGTTTTTGTAGATTAAACTTTTGATTGCTTAATATGTATTTTCTTGTTCCACTTCATGTCAAAGTGCTGCAGGTGACACATTAAATCAGCTGTACAAGAAAAGCTCTGCACTGATTACAAGCCGGTAGAAAATTTGTAATGACCTTATTTTCCCCCCCAAATTCCACCACAGTTAAACATCAAATGCTTGTAATATCTGAAAAGGCAATTAGAATTTAAGTACTGATTAGAGAGAGAGTGAGGATGGAAAAAAAATCTTGTAAGCAATCACACACACACTCAGACACACACACACAGACAGACTCACACACATACATAAACAGAGTTTTCATGGGCCTATCCAAAGCCACCGCCGGAAAGCTTGTGGTCTGCGAGAGAAAAAATGTCCATAAACACGAGTGTGGGTTTGCCTTGGCTTGAACGTGTGACTGTCTCCGTCTTCGCTCGGTGTGTAAATCTTTTCTGCCTGGTGCTCTGTGAATCTGTGCATAGCCTTAAGCAGTATTTCTGAGCCAGCACGCTTTTTCCTTTCCCCAACAACGTTGCTGTGCACAATTGTTTCAGTGTTCCCCCCTTTCTGAAAAAGGCTTCCAGCCAACATAGGAATGGAATATAGAGTCATACGCCAGACAGAATGAGGGCCATGGCTGTTTCCTCTGGCGCTGAACCGTGCATAAGGATTGATCATCAAGGCGCTGAGAATATTTCTGCGCTGCATCATGTTTCATGTGAGCTCACCGCTACAGACCTGTCCTTCTGTTTTTACTTAAATCTGCTCTCACCTCTGCTCTTTCACCTCTTCCCTGAGAGTTGGCGTTTGCTTCCTGCTTCGCTACATCTGAATGATTCTGATTCAAATATGAATTCTAAGTGGAAATGAAGCTGCGGTTCATCAGTGGTCTATCTTTTCGCTGACCACTGTTAATTTTGTGGGAAAATCAAACCACAGTAAAGTCCATTTATGAAAAAATAAATATTAGGGCAGGCAAGGCACTGAAAGTCTTTCATCCAGAGAAACCAGAGAAAAACTTCAATTCCCAGGTTGATGGGGGTTGTGGATACACCACCAGAAGAAGGATGATGACCTGTCTGTGTTTAAACTTTTACTGTGTTAAATGTAATGTGCTGCATTTTATTGTTACCAAAGATGTTTTATGCAGTTTTTCTGTTTCATTCTAATCAAGTATGAGTAGGAAAATCAGTTCAACTCCTGAGCAAAAATAAAGTTTTTTTCAGGGAAAAACGTCATTTTTCCCTGAAAAATAAAGATTTTTCAGGGCCTGGTTTAGCGTTTGCATTAGTATTGCAGAAAAAAGTTTTATTTTCTCATCAAAGACCTACATCATTAAGTCATTTGTTAGAAAGTTGATCCTATTCACAGCTTGTGAGAACATGTGGATCTTCCAGTTCTTTTGTAGTTCCTTTTTGTTTTTTTATTATATTAACATCTGACCTGCTTTAAATAAGTTAAACCCACAACGTTTATGACTAAAATGCAATAAACAGCAGTCCATGACTGAATTACAGATAGAAAAATCAGACAATGGGCTGCTCCTTGCAAGTGGGAAATGTCAAATTTGTGGGTGGAAGTTTTTTTGTTTCTCAAGTTTAATGCAGAAATTCACATGACGTGTGGCTGAAAATCTCATAACACTCCCTACAATAGGTCACCAGGTTAAGTGCCCTTAGAAGAAGCATAAAGGAACTGTAAAGATGAGATTGGTATGTTGTTACAAAGCAACAACGTTGTCTTAAAATTTCTCGGAAATCCCTCAAAATGTATCCTTTGTATTTACTGTAAGCTAAGTGGAGCTGCTCATCTTGTAAAAAGGATTCAGACCCACATTTTTACATATTTTCAGCTCAAATGTTTTTCTTGTATTTTGTTTTTATTGGCATCTTGTGACAAAGCCACAAAGTAGCTTTGTGCCTTTGCAAAGTATTCTGAAGTGAAAGGAAATTGATGCAAGGTGTCAGTGGGGTTTTTCTCCAGAGATGGAATTTTTCTGACTATTCTTTCTTGCAAAAGCTCAAGGAAATTGGATTGAGAGCATCTCAGAGCATCAGCTTTCACTTCTTGGGATAGATTCCTATTTGGATTTCACTGGGCCATTCCAATAATATATTATTTGAGCTCATCCCTTTAGTTGTAGCCATGGCTCTATCTTTAGGGTCATTGTCCTGCTGGGGAAAAAAAAAAAAAAAAAACATCCCCTCAAATCTTTTGCAGCTTAAACAAGTTTTTACTTGCACAACACAGCATGGTTCTGCCTCCACCATGTTTTATCATGATGATTTGCAGTTTTGGTTTACAGCCACACAGTATTTTACATTTCTGTAAAAAAAGGTCCTATCATGGTGGAAAACTCTAAGTATGTTTTCCTTTGGCAGCAGATTTTCTCTCCTGAGCTGTGAAGCTCCTCTACTGGCCTGGTTGCTTTTCTCATTATTGGGAGACATAACTCATCAGCTTTATTTTCTCATTCTTATTGCATGAAGAGTAATATTCAGGATACAATACTACTCTGATTAACTGGTCTATTTTGCAACCACACTCCAGCCTTTGGATTTGAAAGGCAGTGAAACAAACCACTAACTCTGTCTTCTGAGTTACAGCTAGCAATCTGTACTATTTTGTAATTTCCTCTCTAATGTTGACAAGAGCAGTATTTATCTATAAAGACTACGTCCTATCTTTGAAACGTGTCAATACGACCCATTGTACAGTATGTTCTTTCCAAAAGAATGGCTCATTCAGTGACATCATGTAAATTCCTGTGTTGGTGTATCATTTACTACTGTCAGCTCTTATAATTCAGAGGGGGTAAACTGCCTGATATCACAAGTGACGACCTGTTGATATGTTATTGCCGCAAAGCAGTTGCTAGGAGCCTTTTTAGTCAGCAATTAATTTCAGACTCAGGCCAAGGGTGGGTGTGACGGTCCAAATGACTCGGAGGGTTTGACAACCCAAGAAAACCAAGAAAGTGTGTGAGAGAGAAAATCCAAGGGACATTCTGGGATAGCAAGAGAGATTCCTTCAGCCGACTTTATTTTTATGGATGGTAAACCACAGTATACAAACAAAAAGAAAAAAAGAAAGGGAAAAAAAAGCACATAAATTGTTCATGGAGCACCATTTTAAAAGCCCAAACCCTAGAAGCAGCTCTGTTGCAAGCCTCTGACATGACAAACATGCAGCAGATGAATCCTTTCAGCAAACCTCTGAAGATGTGGAAATTATGCAACAAAGGCTTTAGAGTCACTCAGAAACCTAGTTTGACCTTTAGCTGGACCCAGACAAATATGTTTCATTACACAATTTGCTAGGTACTTTTCTGACAATGAAGCAGCAATGCCATTTTTTTTAATGTTCAAATACACAAACATTACATTGCAACATTTGTTTGAATAGTTTTCAATCCAACTTTTTGACTTCGATATGATTAATCATAAAATGTTTTTGAGGAACAGAAGGGATCAATCAACTATAAAAACTTTAAAGATGTGTGCTGAGATCCAAAGGATTCGGGCACAACTTCATCACCATCACAGATTCATGAAGCGAGACAAAGAACCGGTGAGGTGAAGGCTCCAGCGACATCAATAGCACTGAGAAACTTGGATGCTGGTCATTTTGCCCAGTTCTTCTGACGTTTCGGTCATCCAGGAGTCCACTTTATGGGGCTTTATTTTGAAATAACTTGTTGCCACAGGATACTTCACTCTGACCAGGTCTCAAGCTGTCCCCACTGGGAGGGACATTTTGTCCCCACTTAGAAAACCAATTATTAAAAGGAATTTCTCATACTTTGCTTGTAGCTTCTACAATCAAATGCGGTTACATGACTCCAATAAATAATATCTGCCAGCAGGGCATTGCTCAATTTTAATTAGGTCTTTTAATTTACATTTGTATAACTATAGTCATATTTCATAATATTCTACTGGTCCATGTGAGGATG